GTTGAACCCTGGACGAACCCTACGCCAACCCTTAAATCGCCGAGATAGTAACCCATAAGAACCATAAATGGTATATGTATTATATGTACATACATGCATACATACATACATACATACCTACCTACATACCTACCTACATGTACGTGCATACACGCATGCAGATTTACTTACATATAGTAACCCCCAAACAACTGGAAACCGGATTAAGGACAAATAGTGCTGGGATTCCCTATGCATTTTTCTTAAGGATTGAGGCTATTGCGCTTCCAACTTTTGGGCTTCTACCATAAAGCCCGAGGTCTGAACTCAGCTTCAGGCTGTCAATTATAGGGACTTTGGGACTTTCGGGGCATTGGAGTCTATTCAGACGCTGCCCCAAGAAACTGTACAACAAACCGAAGAAAGCGACAACAACATGCAGCAAGCCAATCAAAGCCTCAGTTGTCCGAAGACAGCTCGAGGGCTTCAAGCCACCGTTTCATGGCAGGAGAACACCAGGATTCTTGCCATGACCGGATACCTGCTTGGAGGATCATGGGACTTAGTAAGTAAGGTTATAAGTCCCTTAAGCGGGGTTATAAGTAAATATAAGTGCAGTTATAACCCTACTTACTAAGTCCCATGATCCTTTAAGTGTGCCCCCGCTGCTGGCTTTCAAGCGAGACGCCCTCCATGCAAACGCGAAGTGGCAGAGGCGGCCCGTATACCCTGGTGGCTCGGAGTGATGCAGGCGCAGGGTCAGGAGCCGACGAGGCCTCTTCGGCCTCTATAACCCTAAACCCTGAAACCTAAACTGAAACCCTGAACCCTAAACCGTTTAAACCCTAAACCCTGAACCCTAAACCCTAAACTCTTCGTCTTCCAAGTTGCAGGCCGTCACGTATGCCCTGGGCCACCGATGGTCAGACGTGCAGCTCACCGCCTGGGGCCCGGTTTGACGTTTCTTCGGCTTTTCGGCGTTTAGGGTTTTAGCGTGTACTTCAAGGATCAAGGCACTTAGTAAGTATGGTTACAAGTACCTTAATTAGGGTTATAAGTAGATATAACTATAGTTACCTTACTTATATCCCTACTTACTAAGTCCCCTGATCCTCTAAGTAGGGTCCCCACACCAGAAGTGGCCAAGTCCACACAAGAGCGCCTCTGGAGCTCCTCAAAGACGGAGCTCGCAACTGGCTCTTAGCTCCAAATCCCTATAGTAGGGCTTAGGGTTTAGGGTTTTTAGGGTTTGGGGTTGAGGGTTTAGGGTTTAGGGTTAAGAAGTATAGGTTGCGCTGTTAAGGCTTTAGAGTTTCGTTTTCCTCAGCTTTTGCCCTAAACCGCGAACCCTGAACCCGACGCTCATAGGGTATAAGGTGGTGAATCCTCTTCAAAATCATATCACACTCCTTGACCCGACCTCAACCAGCATGGTATTCCTGACCTGCAGCGGGATGGAAAAGAGGTCTCAAAATAACCCTAACCCCTCAACCCTAAACCCTCAACCCTAAACCCTCAACCCTAAACCCTAAACCCTAAACCCTAAACGCCCTAAGCCCCCAAAACCCTAAACCCTAAACCCTCATAGCCGTTGTGCTGCAGGCCTTGCATGCCTTTCGCCTGGCGGTGGACGTTCTGGCACCCTGGCCGCCGGAGCTTCTCGACCGCAGGGCAGAGGACTATATAGGGTTTGGGTCCTGGAGTTTTGGGGGTTTTGGGTGGTTTAGGGTTTAGGGTTTAGGGTTTAGGGCTTAGGGCTTAGGGCTCTAAGGGTTTAGGGTTTAGGGTTTGGGGTATAAACTATCATCCTCATTATCCCCGTGTAGTCCCCATATAGTTGTACTACAAGATACCCCCAACAGCCTCGTCTAATTAGGAACTAGGCTCCCCAGTAGCTGTCTATTGCCCTTTTTGTCTTTTTTTGGGTTCCCTTAATAAAACCCTAATCCCTAAACCCTTGTTCGAGGGTCTCCGGCTCTGAGTTTGGGACTTTTAAGGTTTAGGGCTTTAATGTTTAGGGATTGGGGTTTAGGGTTTAGGGATTGGGGTTTAGGGTTTAGGGTTTAGGGCTTAGGGCTTAGGGCTTTGGGCTTAGGGCTTAGGGCTTAGGGCTTTAGGGATTGGGGTTTAGGGTTTCGGGTTCAGGAGTTTAGGGTTCCCAAACCGGAAACCCTAGACCCCTAAGCCCCCAAGCCCTAAACCCCGAAACCCTATATAAGCCCTATTAAAGGCTGCTCAAAAACGGATTGGGGTGGAAAGGTCAGCGGCTCGAAAGGTTTGGGGGCTTCATCAAACTGGCTTGGCGCGGGGTTGAGGTCGGGTGTACGGAGTATAGTATAGGGTGCCGAAATAATTACCTATACTATTTTGGGGCCTCCTTATTATAATGAAAGTATATTATAAGGCCAAACCCTATTCTCATTGTTAAGGCCCTTTATTACGGTTCAGACGAATTCACAACGGTTCAAGAGGGTTTAGGGCTTAGGAGTTGTATGGAGTTGAAGTCTAGGTGTCTGAGTATAAATAACCCGAGAATCCCCTTGCAGCCCCCGTATACGTATGATTCGTATGATGTTTTATGATATGCCGGAGAATCCTTTTCTAACTATTCAGGGTCACATGTTTGGGCTTAGGTTTCGGCTAAAACCAAAACGCCCAGATGCTGAACCCTAAACCCGTCATGCTGAACGCTCACACCAACATGCAAAAGTTAAAACCCTAAAGCCTCAGATCCTAAACCCTGAACCCTAAACCTGCAATGCTAAACTCTCACACCAAAATCCTAAACCTAAAACCTGAAACATCAAATCCAAAATCCTGAACCCTAGACCCCCAAAACCACCCAAAACCACACAAACACCCAAAACCACTAAAAAACCCAACAACACAAGCAAACACACCAACAATGACCCACCAGCACTAACAACAACAACAACAACAACAACAACAACAACAACAACAACAAAAACAACAACAACAACCACAACAACAACAACAGCAGCAGCAACAACAACAACAACAACAACAACAAGAACCACAACCACAACCAC